GAGTCACCTGGTGACATCGTAATGTAGAGCTGTGCATCATCTGTGTGGTCATTGTAAATAATTTTATTTCCTGTTACAACCTATACTAGTGGGAACATGTAGATACTGAATAAGAGGGGCCCCAGGACTGAACCTTGGGGTACCCTATATCCACATATATGCACTTCGATGAAAATGAATGATTTACACAAAGATATGATCAGGTTTTAAAAAAATAAATAAATAAAGCCTACCGGCAGACGGTAACAGGAGCAGGAAATTGTTTTTTCCCATTACATCTACAAATCTGTGTAATGTGTTTTACCTGCGAGTGTCAGCCGCCCGCCTTGTTTACATTTCAGTGTTTCCCAGTCTCATAGTGGTGAGTTGTTGGGCAGGGCAGCAGAGCAGCATGGGTAAAGGAGCGCTTTTGGCAGCTTGTATCTGAGAGCAATCTGGACAGATACAAAAGCCCAGTTGGCCGCCTGCCCGGTTTCCATTCATATTCCCCTCGTCTGCATGCACACTCAAACAACGTAACGTCGCCCACTCATATGCACACACACTCCATCGGACAACAGAAACTCCTCAGAGCTGTGCGGCCCTCCCACTTTAAACAGCACTTCCCCTGATTAAGACTCATAATAAAACATGGCAACAGGAGGCCTGCAAAGGATCACCTTTGAAGGTATAATGCAACAAAGATCAAATATTTATTATGACTTTATCTGTGTACTAGTGTTGATTTAACTTTGATGTCACTCTTAGTTTGGAGAAAACATCTTTCAGAGAACGTGCAGCACATATTTCTTTTTTATGGATTGAGTTTCTTGGAAAGAAAAATTTAAAGCTATCAAAATAGCAATATTCAGGTGAAACGTCTCAGAAAGCCGGAACTCTGTATTGGTCAAAGGAAAGTCTGATCACTGCGTCTCTACAACTGAAGCTTCTGTATTGACCTGTTGTTCTCCTAGCTGAGCTTCAATTATTTGAATGTTTTTTTTTTTTCTTCAGGACCCAAGATTTGTTTGTGGATGATGAACAGGAGAGTTTGTCAGCCGAATTCACTCTGCATCCTGACCTCCTGCCCCCTGACTTAGTGCCGTGTACAGCTGCTAACGCCGTAGAGGTGCACAGAGACTCCCAGCCAGGTGAGGCAGGAAACCATCACAGAACAACGTACAGCTGAATGTACAAAGCTTCCTATTGCAAACATAAATCAAGCTCTTCTCAGATCATTGCTCTACAATAAACACAAGCCTTGAAAGATGTCTTCCTTTGACTCATTTCAGTCCAGTTTTGGTTTACTTCAACTATGCTGATTGAAGTTTGGCGGTTTCTGTGTTTTTCTACCTGTTCCTGTGTTCAGACTCGGTGAGGAGTGGTGGAAAAGTCCCAGAGGAAGCTGTTGTTGATGAAGAAGCCATCTTAAGTCTTCTGGAAAACAGCCAGACGTTTCTCCCTCTCTCACAAACGTCCAACCACTCCACCCTGTTAGGTATAGCATCTAACCCATTACTCATCTTTCTGGTAAAGTCTGCTGTCCTTATCATTTGATATTAAACAGCTGTTTATAAATTCCTTCTGTTGTGGAGGATCTCTGCAGGCTTTAGAAGTAGTGCTGTGTTGTGTTGCTAACACAGATTTTTTTCAGATTGGTCCATGGTCACAGCTCAAGTCCTTGTGTTTGTACTTCTCATGATGATATAGCCTCCGAAAGGCATGGAGTTAACCGATGAGATTTTTTTCTGCGATGTTTACCAATTTAGTTCAATGTGTAATTGTATCACAATTCCAATCTAGAAAATTTCTGAAGAAATTTAAACGGGGCCTGTCGGTTGGAACTCAGCATTCTGAGGCTAAAAATTAGCACCAATGCTAATGTAAGCTACAATGTACTTGATAGCATGTGGAGAGTCACAAGAATGTTGAGTAACACGGACTTTCCACATATCATCTTCCATATCCATGGAAGATGATATGTGGACTCTGGTTTGCGACGTGTCAGCTGTTTGTGATTCCCTGAGGGGAATCCGTGCTTTCTGATTAGCTACCTGTCACATTCAACAGGTTGCGTTCTCTCTTCCAGTCATAAACTGGCCAAGACAATCCAACATGTTGAATATGCCCGAATTAGATCAGACTGGCCACGACGTTCTACTGACTGGACCCAATCAGTCGTAACACATCACACACACAAGGGGAAAATCGGGGCAAAAAGTCGTGTAGTGTGGACAAAATTCTATCTCTGCTTCAGTCTAAGGGTGCATCCACACTGCAGCCTGAAGTGACCCAATGACCCAATTCACTTCAGGCTGCAGTGTGAACGCACCCTAACTGACACAAAACGGTGTCAAAATGACAGAAGTAATAGCCCGCATGCCAAGATCATAAAAAATATGCATGGAGGCATTTCAATGCTGTCCTATGCATTTCTGTGGCAGACCCCAATAAAGTGTTGTTCAGTACATTTATGTGTGAAGTGTCTGTCTTCTCGTCTCTGTAGAAAGCAGCCAGGATCATGCCCTCATTGATTTGCTGGCTGGCCTGGAAGACGATGGTTTCCACAGGACTCCACTAATACACAGCTCTCAGCCTCAGTCGCTCCCTGGTGCATCAACCTACAACTGCAACAGTGATGAAGAAGAAGCCGGACCCGAGCTGGAAAAAGAAGAGGCTGAGCTTAGTATGATAATGTCACAGCGGTGGGACAGCGAACATCCTGGGAGAACAAACCCACCGAGGCGAGTTTTTAACTAGAACTCAGAGAGAAAATAATAATCCAAGTCCCGCCTGGACGCTTTTATTGGTTCCACTGCAGTTAGAGGCAGGGCTAAGCTGTCTCCTGTTGTTGCTGTTTGCACAGGCCTGGAGTCAGGGAGGCAGAGGACGGCTTCAGCGATGAGCAGCAAGAGTCCTCTGACGAAGACATGGAGTGGAGTGGGACTCACTCTCTGTTTGCTAATCTGTCCATCCCACAGCTGGACGGGGCAGCAGACGAAAGCAGTGGTGAGGCATTTTCTGCTCAGTGCTGGCATATGCTAGTGTCACCACAAGTATTTGTTTATCCTTCCAAATCATTGGACACAGCTGTTCCAATCTCTTCCACGTCCACAGGTGTCTAAAATCCAGCACCTAGGGATACAGGCTGCTTCATCAGACATTTGGGAAAGGATTGCTTGCTCTTAGATCAGTGAAGTCAGACAGGAAACTGTGACATTATATTCCGTTGAGAAATTTCTTGATGAAAATGTCCTTGTGAACTGTTTTCTGGTGTTATAAAATGGAAGCAATAGGGAATAAAAGCAACTTGGCCACAAGGTGGTGGGCCGGGGTAAAATCTAAGGGTGCACTGATAAATCGGCTTAAATTTGGGAGATCTGCGATACTTGAACATGAAGCCGATCTTATCCATCAAACTTGGTGCACAGAGAAAATGTGTAGCTGTATTCCTGCATGCATGTGCTCTAATATCAGAACATTAGATTATTAATGTGTGTTTTTTTTTTTTAAACAAGCAGGGCTTGTGAATGCTTCACAATCCTCATCTGCACCAGCAGCTGGAAAATAGGAGTTAAACGCAGATTAATTAATCATTTATTGACAACTTCAAGATATTTTAAAAGACTGAGAGTGGTAAAGAAGTCAGAAATGAAATTCATGGATTCAGTGGAATGTGATCAGCTGTGAGTAAAGCATTAACTTAAACTCTCATCTGAGTTTAAAGTCAACTACAGGATGATGGGAGACAGACTGAGTTATTCTGATTCTAATTCAACAGTTTGTTGTTAAAGCACAGTATTTTACTTATTTATGTTCATTTTAAGCAGTCGAAAAGCTTAAAACCTTTTAAGCAGGACACAACATTTTCATGAACCTTGCTGCTCCCCATCTGCCTAGCTCTATATGCTGATAAAAGCAGTTATTTCCTCATGTGTCAAGTGTGAAGTCTGGAATGGGAATTTATGGTGCAAGTTTCTTTTCTTAGGAGTGTGGCTCTGCTCCTTTGGGTCAATGTTTCTAACATACAGAAACATTCTGGTCTGTTTTGTCTTTCGGGATGTTGTTTTCTTGTTCCAACATAGCAAAAAGAGATTGAGTGCATACAAGAGGGTGAATGTCAGCGCTAATAACCTCCTCCTGACACTGGTTGATTGGTTCTGATTGAGCAGTGTATTTCTGCAGATGGCAGTAGGACAACATGGAGGAACTTTAGTTTCCCCAAAGATCATGTTCATGTTATAGTGCAATAATTTAACAAAAGTTACATCCTTGCAGCGTTGGCACATTTCTAAATTTGTTGTAGCCTCAAAGGAGGGAGCACCATTTTATTGGACTCTATAAATTAAGAATGAGATGTCACTGAAGTCCCTATGAGTGAGGGTAGGTGAGCAAATGATTTTGACAATATAGTGTATATACAAATCCATTTTCTTTCATTTCATTGTTGTGCTGCTCATGTCCTGCTATTCCTACCCTTTCTTTTCTCTTCTGTATTCCTAGATTCTTCCTTAACAGACAGTGGCTCCATGTCTCAGTCTTCGCTTACAGTCACAGAGAAGCTGTTGGGGAAAACAAATCCCTGCACTGGAGAGACTGTCCACCTGGAGCCGCCGTCGTCAGCGAAGATCCTGCTTTGCAAACATCCTGAGCACAGGCCAGTCCGTGGGCTGGACACGGAGGAACAACTCAAAAACTCTTTTCAGTTAAAAAGCAGCCCAGACGGCTCCAGTGAATGTTCAGCAGGGTTCAGGGTTAATAAAGAAATCCCATACATCCTGCCAGTGAAGCACCCAATTCCTCGCAAAATAGCCAATCACTCTGAGGTGTCTACTATCTGCATGAACAAGGAGGACATTCGACCGTTGTACACGTATAACAAGAAAAGTTCCAAACCTGTGGAGAAGGCTGATCTGGAAGCCTTCCCTTTTAGCAGTGGAAAGGTGTCAAAAAATAGGAAAAGGTACAGCAGCCTTGAGACTGTAGAAACTAACCGTTTATCCATCTTTCAGAACCACAGCACCATCTCCCTTTGTTACTCAGACCTCAGAGCCTGCTCTGCTAAGACAGAGCTGGAGCTGAGCACTAAGGAGAGAAAAAGCCCAATTCTGAGGAGCCTCACCTCAACGCCATCCCTCATGAAGGAGGGGGAGTTCATCGACCACAGAGAGGAAGAACTGGCCCCAGAGAGTGAGGAAGGAGATGTTGGGGAGCTCAAAATCAGATATGAAGACTACCAGGAAAATAAAACCGAGAGGACTATTGTTGCCCAGCAGGAGGCACATTACAAGTTCTTCCCCAGTGTTATTCTCTCCAACTGTCTCAATAGAAAGAAGACTGGAAATAAAAAGCCAGCTGACACCTGCAGCAAGCCAGAGCTGTCTCCGACTTGCAAGTTGAAGCTGAAACTTCCTAAAAAACGGTTAGGAATGACGGGGCACAGGAACAAAGCAGGAACAACTCAAAGCCCGATCTCCGACAGTCCAGTTTGCACTGGCCTCTGTTCAGAAACATCTGCTTGCAACCAGACTTCAGACATAGAAGGGTCAGTTTCAGAGGATCAACCAAAACCACAGGCAGAAGTAAATGAAGGCGAGCCAAATGAAGAAGTTGAGCCAGCTATAAATGAAGAGTTGGACAGTGAGGAAAAGACAGTCGATGGGCAGATAGAACCAGTGTCGGAGGCTGTTGTCTCCAACACCACCATTACTTCCTCTCTTTGTGAAGAAGCCAAAGATGTAACTGAGGATCAGTTGAGCCTTGGTCCAGATGTATCTGCGAAAGTTAGCTGTACTAAACCATCAGCACTGCCCGGGAGTAAATACACACTGAGGGCTAAACGGAAACAGAACTTTGATGGTACTGATGAAGATCAGCCAGGTTCCAGTCGTTATAAAAACTCCAGCAAGTTTCCCAGGGGCCAGGAGACCAAATACCAGAAAAGACGCAAGAAAGAACCTCCCGTAATTATTAAGTACATCATAATCAACAGGTTCAAAGGTCAGAAAAACATGTTGGTGAAGATGTCCAAAGTGAATGCAGACGAACAGCTGGTTATGTTGACTGCAGATAAAGTGGAACATTACAATAAACTGGCTCCTCTCAAGAGCTTCTGGCCTAAAGTGCCAGAGTCCACTGCCGTCAGGTTTCCCGTCAAAGAGCCCAAAGCCAAAAAATCGCCCAAGCGAAAAGCTAGGGTCAACAACACAGGCAAGAAGACGATCAACATCTCTCCCAAAAAGCCTCTCGTCAGACGAGGGCAAAGGATGAGGAGGAGCACAGGCTGTCAGAGACGCCCACTTCTGCCCTCTCTGCCCCCCCCTCGGCCATGTTACTGTGAGCTAGCAGATGACTTTGAGAAAGAGTACACGGATGTCATGGTAGAACTGGGCTATCTTTCTGATAGATCCCCAAGCCCAACAGAATCAACGCCCCCGCGTTGTTGGTCCCCAAGTGACCCTTTTCTATACAGTTCAGAACAGCTGATAAATCCACTCAGTGATCCTTGCCTTAGCTCTGCATCACTAAATCCATGCACAAAGTCTGTGACTAAAAGAGCCCAAAGGAGAAGTCGAACAGCCAAACCTAAGAAGTCCACGGAGTCTAAGAGAAAAGTAAACATGTCCCCTGCTAAGCCCTCAGAGGTACAAGAGCCCAAACAGGATAAAGCAAGGAGAGGTGTTGCTGCTGCTGCAAGGCAAAGAAAGAAAGCTAGCAATGCAGCTGAAAGTCCCGCAATATCTCCACAACCCAGAAGGTCCCGCAAAAAGAAAACCGACAAACCTAAAAGTGATGATTTATGCAAAGAAGACTCCCAGCTGCTTTTCTCTGATGGCGGGTTGGCTCCATCAGAGAGTTCCTCTCAAGACATCACCTCCTTTCAGCAGTCGCTAGGCACCGATGGCACCAGTCAGAGCAGGTCCTCGGCTTCAGACACATTGATGCCCACCTCAGCTCGCTTTATTGAACCAAAGGCTGAGGCCTGCGAGACCTCAATCATGCAAGTTAACCAAAACATGCTGGCACCTGTTGAGATGAAGCAGCAGGGTTGTCAGACCACTGTGGTAAAGGTAGAATCTTGTCCAGAAGATTGCATTGCCCCTCAGCCGCCAGCAGAGACAAGTAATGATGTCCAGAAAGACAAAGGTTGTCCCCCTTCAGCTCCTAAAAATGGAGAGACACCAGCTCTCACTGAGACTCCGTCTGGCTTGGCTGTCCTTAAGCAGCTCCTCCAGAAGAGGCAGCAGGGACAGGCCCTTCCTCTACAAGCAGTTGGAACAGACAGACATGCCGCTGCCATAGCTCAGGCCGCAGTGCTGCTAAACCCCTCCACTAAACACACTAAGCCCATTAGAACCCCTTCCACTGCTCCTCGGAAACCCCGGGTCCCAAAGTCTACCGCTCCTAAGGAGAAGAAGCCCAGAAACAGGAAAAGCAGGACCAGCAGTACTCAACCAGACCAATCAGTGAAGCAGGTTGGCGGTATGTCTGATGACTGCCTTCTCTTCTCCTCTGCACCGAGTCTCGCCAGCTGCAACTTCATAGAGGACAGCTTGTCCCCAGAGCTCCCACAGGACTACACTTTCGATATAAACACTATTCACCAAGCAGAGTTCTCCAGTCCCTACAGCGGCAATCAGTTTGTTTTAACCGATAAAAACCTGCCTGTCAAGTTCCTCAGTGACATCTGCCATGAACCTCCATCTGCTCAGGCGCAGAGCTTGGAAGGTCTTCCTCAGAGTCAGACCGAGAGAGACTCTGATGTGTGCAAAGTCAGGCCTGCCAGCCCTGAACTCTTTGACAGGTCTGGGAATGGAGAGCCCTCAACAAACCTTGCTCAGCTTCAATCTGAGAAGCACAGACCAGAAAGACAAAGAGAGTGGGACCTTTCTTTCTGTAAATCCCATACCCTCAGCCCTTTTCAAGACTTCCACTGTGAGAGAAAGGAGTTCCTCTTCTCAGCCTTCGACCCGATCATACCTTTGTCTCTAAGCTCTGTGTCGTTTGTCGACCAGGAGGGCTCACCGACTAGCGAACATCACGAGAGCATCGATGGACTTACGTCCACCACACCCAGCAGCTCCCCTCACTCAATCAGTTCTCTGTCACATGTGAGAGCAAGCCAGCTTCAGCGGGGCGCCGGAGGTGGAGCCCATGTCCTCAAGCCTCTCATGTCCCCTCCGAGTCGGGACGAGATCCTCAGCACTCTGATGGACCTGGAGATGTCAGAAGCCACGTTCCAGGAGCCCTTCTGCAGTGATCCATCTGACATCCCAAACAAGCCAATGTAAGATCACACTTTCTCACGTCATGTTGTTCTTTTGAAGCTTAGAGTTAGCAGTTTGTTCCTGCAGGTATTTAGATATGCTTATTTAACATTGGAACTGGTTAAAACACTAGAATGGCACAGATCAGCCGACTGGTCAAGAAGAATAGATTTGAATCTGGTTTAATACAGTAAAGATGGCAAATATCACTACTTTTCTTCATGCTGACTGCAGAATTTTTGGCTTTAAGCTTTAATAGTAGTGTGTTAATAAAATGTGATTTTAGTGGAAGTCAGTATAATATTTTAGTGTCCAGTGGGAGTCTCTGCTGCTGGATAAAAATACTAATGCACTCAGTTCTGTATCAAGTTTTTGTCTAAGACTCTAATCATCCACTAAGTCTATAGTTCATGGAGAACTCTGTTTTTTTGGTAATAAACGACTAGGAAGTCAGATAATCAATCTGGTATTTGAAGTGCTACAGGATTCTTACACAGTCTGATAGATTGAATTATTTTAAAGGAGTCAAATAAGTTTGGGGAAAAGAAATAAGATTATGAAAAACTATTTTTATCTTCAGGCTCTATTCTGTGAAATGTCTGAAAGTTCTCCTTTCTTTTTTTGATTTTTTTTCTTCCATGTGTCGTTGTCTTCCTTGTATACCTTCTTCTCTTGAATCTACATTTCCTTCCTCCCTTTCTCAATTATGTCCTTCCAATTTTCCTTCCTCCCTTCTTTCTTTCATTTTTTTCTTCCATCTTCTCTTCCTTCCTTCCGTCTCCTGAAAGTTTAGTCTGGAGTTTTTAGTGAAATAATGTGATGGAAGCCCAGGCTTAAAATCCTCATTGAATGTTTGGTGGTTCTAAGCAGTTACAGAGTTGTTGATAAGATTTATGTCAAACAGGAAGAAAAAATGTTGTGATGATTTAATAGTTTTATCAAAATGTACTTTCTTTTCCCCACCAATGTGTTAGAACATCCAAATTGCTTTACTGAAGTATAAAAGACATGTAAGAATAAAAGAATTTGAAATTCAAAAGCAGTTCTTTTAGATTGTTTTAGAGATTTGTGCCACACAGCTAAAATTATCACCATAAAATAAAATCTGAAATGACGTGTAAGAGGAAGTTCATAAGTTTTATTAAATCACTGCACATGAAATAACTGCTTTTTAAACGGATGATTGTCATTACTCTCCTGTTGTATCAAAGCCAACGTAAATGTTAAATTTGACACATTCCTGACTAATTTTTTTAGATTTCAGCAGCAGATGGAATCATTTTCCTCTGCAGTCTTATTGCAAATATTTTTGTGACTAAGTATTTGTCTCAGGGTCATTTACTCTGCTTACTTTGGACACTAATACAAACACAATATAATATCTAACTAAAAGATATATGATAACTACAGTCCTGTTGAGGAAAGTATTACTGACCACACAAATGAAGGATCCAGTTCTCCTGTCCTGATCTGTGGTTCTTCCTGTTGTCTGGTGTCATTTAGATGATTTCTCATCTTTCCTGCTGTCTTCCAGGGAGGTTGGGGGCCGTAAGCTCACCGTGGGAACCAGATTAGTGAGGGAGCTCCAAGAGTTTGGAGGAGACCTGTCTTTGGAGGGCCTCCATTTCTGGAAGACCGCCTTTTCCGTCATGACGCACCCCGCCACCACTATCACCTCCTCTCAGGGAGCAGAGGTCGAGCAGACAAAAGAAGAAAAGACGGGGCTTCTCACATCCTCAGCCAGCGACAAGAAGGTCATCCTTCTGCCCTGCAGGAACCCACCGAGCCACGAGCGCGTGCAGCTGTGGCTGGAAGCCAGGAAGCAGTACGACAGCCTGCAGAAAGAGAGGAGGGAGCCGGGGAAGGAGCGGGAGGGGGCAGATGTGGAGCAGGAGAACCCTGACAGAACCAAGTTGCCAGATGTTTCCAGATGCATTTCAGTTAATGTCGAACACTGTGGGAACACTTCCAGTGTGAGAACTCGCAGGAGAAAGAAGCTCAGCCTGTCCTTAGCCTTGTCTCCTCTGGTGGACACATGTCCTCAGTCCAACACCGCAGCACTGAGTCCGGTTTCAGATGAGAGCACTGTGAGCCCCCAGCCTGAGAAACAGGAGGACGCCTCCAACATGACGTCTCCAGAATCCCCAGAGCTGCCTCCGTGGCAGGAGTCTCACCAGCTGAGCCCATCGGCGCCTGAGCGACTCGGCAGCAAGAACTCACCAGAACCACCATCACCCAGGCTCCCCGACTCACAGGAGAGATTTGGAGCGGACCAGTCTCCCTCTCCTTTTCATGGTGCAGACAGGAACGGTGGCAGCAGTCCACACCGCCTACACACCACCCCCTTCTTAAGGAAAAGGCGGAGGAGCACGGAAGATCTGGACCCAGTCTGCAGCACGCCCATAAGTGATAGTAAGTTTCACCAGCAGGGCTCAGTAGAGAGTGTTCATATTCATATTGCATATCTGAACAAACAGACGTTGAATTATTAGTTACTTTCTGATTGAAAGCAATAGAAATATATAGAACTTATTAACTTGTGGTGGGACTAATTTACTAATTAATTATAAGGTTTGTAATTAATTAGTCACAATTTAACCAAAAACCATATGTTGACCAAATAAGCAACCATTTTCATTCAAAAGCCTTTTTTTGCTGCTAAATTACTGAATAAGTAGACCTGAGCTCAACATCAAAGATATTTATTGTTTTTAATCTGTTATTCAGGTTCTTCAACCATCAGATTAATGCAGTGTTGTAAAATAACATATTTTGAATGCCACAATAACCAATGTTATATCTAGTTTAAATGGTTCTAATCTATTATAACTCAAAACTGTGCAATATATCAAATGGAAATTCACTGGACTGTCTAAATGTGTGTAGCTGCCTGATGCAGCTTCCTTTTAGTGAATGTTTGATCATTATTAGCAAAGGATTCATCTGCAGCTAAAAATATTTCACCATGTGAAAAGCTCAGCCCGTTCAATAAAGTATAGAGCTGATTGCTTTATTTTTTTATTATTAATAACTGGATAACAAAAGAAGTTTCATATATTCTTACGGAATTTGAACCAGGTGGAATTAAAAATGGCATTTATGTTTTTCTGGGTTGAGCATATTTGCAGAAAAATAATGTTTTACATCTTAAATGAAAAAATTCTATTTTTTGAGCAGTTTATTGTGTAATTACTACTCTGATGGTGTTCTCTGAGCTAATGGCCTGCTTTTGAGCTCATGCACTCCAGTTAACAATTAGTTTATTACTAAATTACTTGACAATTATTTCAATAAATCATTAATTCTATTAATCGTTTTTACCCACGCATGGTTAATACATACTGATGTATTTTGCTTAATGCCATTTTCAGTTTTTAAAAGTGGCTGTTAAAAAAGTTACTATTTAAAGACTTGTTTATTTTGTCTTCTGTTTTTGTTCTTTAAGAAGCATTAAAAACCCTGTTTCCTCAGCACATCTGGGCTTATTAAGCTTGTTTACAATTTGGGAAACGGTGACCAGCTGCTGATAATTAATCAGCAGGACAAGTTAGGTTTTTGTCCCTTTGAACATAAAGGTTGTAAATGTGTAAACATAAATGAGTCTAACCCAGCGGCTCCTGCTGTTAACTGAGCTCCTGTCCTGATCTTTCCCTGCTGCAGAGGATCCTGTTTCTCAGAGAAGAAGAAGCCAGACCGATCCTTTGAGGAGAGTATTACTGACCACACAAATGAAGGTTAGAACTTACCCCCGTCTGTGTGATTTCCAGTTTACAGTTCAGTGTTTGACTGCAGTCTTATCTTTTACTTTAACAGGTCTGAAGCGTCATGTTGTGTAATTGACCTGTTGTCGGTGTCTTGGCAGTGCTTTTTATGCTCTCTCTTTTCTCCACAGAACCAGTTTGCTGCTATAAATGTGCCAAAGAAAGAACAGTCTCAGATTGAAGGGCCAAGTATTGCCAACTCATACGGCTTCAAGGTCAGCATGCAGAATCTGCAGGATGCCAAAGCTCTGCATGAGGTGAGCCGCTCCGCAGGACAGGTTGGGACCAGCAGCTGCTGTGCTCCGGTCTGGGTCCACACCTCACTCATGTGACACATGAATTAATTAGATAAGTAGATTCAAAAGTTTAATTAGGATCAATCAAAACAAAAGTCTTGTTGATTTTTTTTTTTTTTGTTTCTTTTTGTATCATCCAATTTATTTCAAATGATTTCAGTTCAATCAAATGGTCAGGTTCAGCACCAACTCCATGCAAATCAATATTAGTTACAGCACAACACATTCACATTCAGTTGATGATGTAATGATGTAATTGATTATGTAATTGATGATGTAATGACTAAAATGTTGACTTGTTGCTTTTTACATTTTTGTCCAGCAGGAACACGTAAAATGCTGCAAGTCGATGACTCGATGCAATCTGCTGGATTCCTTTAATCTACTGTGAATCATTAGTTGAGCATACTGCACTGTTTGATAGCTAGCATCAGTTGGAACGGATGTTGAATTGAAATGATATTTTTGGTAAAATGTCTTGAGACGACATTTGTTGTGAACTAGTGCTATAGAAATAAATAAACTGAATTTTGTCTCCAGATTTCTGTTTCTGCAAGCTCCATATTTAGCTTACAGTGCAGTTTGTTTTGACTCTTCAGGTCCAGCACCTTACGTTAATGGGAATGGAGCTCCATGCTAGAAGCCGCCGGGACCTGGAACCTGACCCGGAGTTTGACCCAATATGTGCCTTATTCTACTGCTTCAGCTCCGACGCGCCGCTGCAGGGCGGAGACAGAACTCAGCTGACTGGTGCCATCATGGTGGACAAAGACCATAAAAGCTGTGGTCAAGGTGAAGTCCTTCTATGTGTTGGTATAGATATAATTATTGAGAATGCACAACCACTAATTAAAATGTACAAGCAGTGCACAACAGTGCGTTCTATTTTTCATTGAAAAATGGAAACTACAAAACTAAAACCCCACCAATCACACCCTCTCTCTCTATTCAATAGTACATACAGTAAAAATTATATTTAGCAATTACATTGGACATTTTGAAGTCCATTAATAAGGAAAAAATATATAATAATAACAATAATGAAAATAATTACAGTTGAGCAGTGTGAACTAATCACCAAATCCAATGGAAAACTTTTGTTCTGTTTTATACTTTATTTTGTCACCTTCTTAAAACAATGGCTTGTTAGTTTTTGGGTCATATTGAAATGCCACAAGCAATTCATGCTTTGAACACAGTAGTAATGGAACTGAATTTAACAAATTGGCAAGTCTAAACATCTGGATTTTTAGTTTAGAAACTCTGTGTTTCCGGACGTTTGTTCCAGATTTGTGGTGCATAGAAGGTGAATGCTGCTTCTAAAACATACAGAATACAGTCAACACTATCCTAATCATTTTCACTTGTATTAAAAGTAACATCTTATTCATTCTATGGTGGAGTGGCAATGAAATATACATTGTCTGAATTCTGAGGATGTTTTTTGTTACTGCCCCCTACTGGTGCTTTTGTTCCTTCAATCTGTTGATGTGCTCTGTTTGCTTTGGACCTGGACCACTGTAGTCGGTAGTCCAGGTGTTACTATGTGATCTCAGTGTTTCAGTCATGTCTGTGAACCTGGGCTGATGCAGCTGTTGGGATCCGTCTGCAGGTCCCAGATCGACGGCACCGCTGCTGGTCAGGTCAGGAGTCTCTGGGCTACAAGTTATCTACGCCAGGGAGGAGAAGATGCTGTTTCAGGAGCTCATCGCCATCATGAGAAGGTGTGTGTTCTGTCACTGACTGGAGACGGTTTGTGCTACAGTCCTATCAGAGTGAACCATTCAGGTGGAGGAGGGTTGTTGATCCTGCTTTCAGTCTGCATGCTGTTCCTCCAGGTTTGACCCAGACATCCTGCTGGGATACGAGGTGCAGATGCATTCATGGGGCTTCCTTCTACAGCGCGCCGCTGCACTAGGAGTGGACCTCTGCCAGCAGCTGTCGCGGATCCCAGGTACCTCCAGGACTCACCTCGGTGGTTCAGGCTCAGGCTGCTCCAGTTTCTGAAAAAAATCAATACTTTTATGATTTGAGGCTTTCACAGGTCAGAGAAATAAACTCATAATCTGCCTATCATTACAGAGAAACATGCTTGCTAACATGTCCATTATTCTTTTTTGTTTCCACTATTAAAGCTCCAGTATATAACTTTTATTAAAAAAAATATTTTTTTACATATTTGTTGAAACTGTTACTTTGTCGAGACAGTATGAGACAGATAATCTGTTAAATTCACATTCAAAAATACTTTGTCAATCCCAAAGGGAAATTGAATAAATTAAAAATCAAGCTCTTCTCTCAGTGCTCCGACTGCTAACTAGAAACAACCAGTTAGAGCGAGGAGGCGGGTCTTAGAGCTGTCAATCACCTTCGCATGTGCCTGCTCATCCTCACTCCTCCTCTGCTTTGCTACAGCTTCTTCCTGATAACATGCTGTTCTGAATGCTAGGCTAGTTAGCGTGGCCACCAGTAATGCCAGATAAACAGTTTTTTCCCCATAACAATAAGTTGTTCATCCACCATTAGCACATTGAACAGCACATGCAAGGTTAATTGACACCACTAAGCCCCTCCTCCTGGCTCTGATTGGTTGTTTCTTTCTTCAGATGACCATAGCAGCTCAGGGAGGAGGATGAGGAGGAGATTGATTTTTTCACAAATTATCTCTCTCATATTGTACTGGCATGACATGATGACGGTTTTAACAAATATGTCAAACATATTTTTTATAAAAGTTACATACTGCAGCTTTAAATCACAGCATCAATTATTGATGTCTCCTCTGATAATAAACACAATGCATTCAGGGGCCTCTTAGTTCCAGAACATAATTTACTAGAACCTTTCCTCAGTGGAACCATTTCCACTTCTGGGTGCTGCTGGGTTTGTAAGTTGCGACACTGAGCGTGGTCATTTCTGCTGCTGCAGGTGTTTCTGCTTTGGAAAAGAATTACAGCCACTAAACCTGTTACATTGTTAAATATATGGAAGGAATACTGCAGTGATATGGAGGGTCCCCCATTCTGGATAGAAACTGATCTCAGAATTTTACAGAGCAGTCACAGTTTATTAGAGCTTATAAACTGTGTGATTGTAATTGATTTAAAAAATTGTGACAACTTATTCAGACATGTGTTTGGGAAAGAGGGAGAAAATAAAAAAGCCTTGATCTGCAAAATGAAAATCTTTTATTTTTCTCTGAGCAGTAATGGCACTATGAGTGAATATTGTGTCACAGTAATTACATATGTAAGAAACTCTAAATACATTTAAAGGTGTAACTGTGATAAATTTTAAATATATTGAACTGGTTTCATGTTCCTTGTTTGGGCTACTTTGTTTTGAGAAGAGGTTTCTGTCCTGTCATAATGTGATTATTTCACCATGGTTACACTGCAGAACAAAATTAAATTCACTTCAAAGTCAGGACTTTTTTAACATTCATAGATTTATTTTCATCACAAAGACCATTAACCAGACACACTTTCAAACTAAAAATCATTCACCATGTAACAATCCTGGAAGCTGTTTTCATTTGTGTCTTGTAGAATAAGCTCTGTTAAACTTTCCAATCTAACCTGAAATAATCGCTAGAACTGGCATCTAGTCTTGCTTACAATGAAAGCACAAGTCCATCCTTAATTAAAATGATCTCTAATTCCCACTAAGGTTTTATGATGCTAAACACTGCAAACCATACGAGTTAGTGTTTGCAAACAAACACAGTAATTGCTACTGTTGTATCAGTTAAAGTTGACTGAAAATATGAAACATGGTGGTGTAGATTCAGCAGCTGTTTCCTCCTAACAGAGAAGTTTTAACACATTTTTGATAACTTTTCTGCACTGGGGATCTAGCAGGTTTCAACAGCAGGTAATTTTTTTTTGTTTTTGGTTCCAAAAACCAACATTGGTTTCTGGAAAAGATTAACATGCGAGTGTTAATTTGCAGTCGGGGTTTATTTTTATGATTTTGCTCCACAGAGAATGAGTTTTATGACCACCTCTCTTTCACATTGATGTTAGGAGGTATGTGTGTGCGTGCGTGTGTGTGAAAGAGAGAGAGGTTTCTGTTTTGAACATGCTGAGTGCTAACGCAGGCTTCCCTAGGACTGAGCGTAGCACATGTGGACGGTGTGTGTTGTGTGGACAGACGTGCGTGTCCATGGCAGTGGGTTTGTGTGTGTGCTCCAACTGAATGGAGCGCCTCAGGCAGCTGCCAGCCTCTCTAATTAGCTTTCTGTCTGGCTCTGCGTGTCCTCAGGTGACTCCAAAGAGAACCGCTTTGCCGCAGAGAGGGATGAGTACGGCGCCGACACCATGACTGAGATCAACATCATCGGCCGCGTCACCCTCAACCTGTGGAGGGTGATGAAGAGCGAGGCAGGTTTCTCTCCCAGCTTTCTTTCTTCAGGCTGTGGTGACCTTCAGTCTGCTGTTTCTATTTAAAAAAATCATTTATTGCCACAAAAAATGTTTTGACAAACTTTCTGCATCAGTATCTGGCATTATCTTAAAAAGAGGATCTCAATGTCATGTTAACTCTAACCTCAACCCCCTGGACGTACTACTGGGGTTTGTTATAGACAAATACAAATTAGTGCACAATTGCAAAGTAGGAAAAAAAATGTATTTATCATTTTTTTCTTTGCTGTCAAATAAAGGACAGCATGCATCTGTTTTTAGCCACATTTCTCCAATAGATTTATCTTTGCAGAAAAGCTCAGTCAGATTGAAGAGAGAATCTCTATAAGCAAAAAAAAAATTCAAGCCTTGCTGCTATTTCTCAATTGAAATTATGCTTCAACTTTGACTGGGACATTCTAAGACACGAATGTTCTTAGCAGTCTTACTGTAGCTGTATGTTTGGAGTCTTTTTCATGATAAATTTGTTCTACCCAGAACTCCTCAAGTGGCCCAGTTTTAACTTCACCTGGTTCAAATTCTGTAAAACAAAATCTCCTATTGGACACCCGTTGCTCTCCAATTCTTAACTGGTTTTAATCTATACTGTACAGATCACTGTACTGCTGATGTTTTTAACTCCTTTGTTGCTTTCAGTAAAAGAATGTTGTTATTGCATTTTAGGGAATAAAATGTTTGTTGTGAATTATTTGTTGATTTGCATTTTCCAAATATATTTTTAATATTGTATAAAAAGTAGTTAATTGAAAAATCTCCAGGATGTGCCATGTTTTTCCGATTAATCATCAGAATAATTGATGAATGCCTCGCTCCTGCCCAGGTCTTATTGTGATCTTCTCGACTCTGCAGGTGACGCTGAACAACTACAGCTTTGAGAACGTGGCCTTCCATGTGCTCCATCAGCGCTTCCCCCTCTTCAGCCCCCGCACGCTGTCCGACTGGTTCGACCACATCACACACTTGCACAGGTCAAGCACAGTCACACACTCCATGTTCTGTTATCCAACGCTCTACGTTGCCAAAAGGTCCAGTCAGGGATCGTTGGGTGGACAGAAGCAGTGAAGGTTTGGCCCGACCTGTTCTGTAGTAAAGCATGCTGTGTCCTTTGATCTGCATGTTGCTGCAGGTGGAAGATGGTGGATCATTATGTGAGTCGTTTACACGGCACCATGCAGCTGCTGCAGCAGCAGGACATCATTGGCAGAACCAGTGAGCTGGCCCGGCTCTTTGGAATCCAGTTCCTCCATGTTTTGACTCGAGGATCCCAGGTACACGCACGCACACACACGTGCATACTGTTAGTGGTGTCCTGAAACAGACTGCATCTCTGTGCTGCAGCATTTCTCGGTGAGGTAACTGTTGGGGATTTTTAACTTTCTGACCCAATAGCAGGTATTTATAAGGCTGTTTAATACTTAACGTAGCTTTTTAATGCTGTTTTGTAAATGCAGCTGCACTCAGAAAGCAGTATGTTTACATTCTGTAAGCTATTCAGCCATATTTATTCCATTTTACACTTAAGGAAGAAATTTGCTGAGTTTTTTTTTTGTTGTAGAAAGTCATTTAGATTTTTTAAATGCAAATGTTAAAATATTTTAGTTTTTCTTGTTTCTTCATATATTGATATCAAATCTGGTGCACAAATCAAACTGATCAGTTTAGTAAGTTTTTGTCCTACAATTCTCAGGATCTTTACTCAATGCTATTACTATATATTTACTTAGTGAAAATTATCCAATCTTGGCTTGATTTGCTCTAATTTGTATATATGTGAATATTGAAAGTGATGCTTGATCAGCAGTACAGTTACAAACTAACTGTTAACTGATGAAGCTCATGAACATTTTGCCTGCAGTGATCAGTCTCCTCCTCCCCTCAGTACCGTGTTGAGTCCATGATGCTCCGTGTGGCCAAGCCCCTGAACTACATCCCGGTGACACCCAGCGTGCAGCAGCGAGCCCAGCAGAGGGCGCCGCAGTGCATCCCCTTGGTGATGGAGCCCGAGTCCCGATTCTACAGCAACTCTGTGGTGGTGCTGGATTTCCAGTCGCTGTACCCCTCCATCGTCATCGCATACAACTACTGCTTCTCCACATGCCTCGGCCACGTGGACGGCCTGGGAACGTAAGGACACGACCCACACACACACACACACACACACACACACACACACACACACACACACACCTGCACCGACCGAGAACCCGCCTTGCTTCGTCCCCTCATTAGTTTGAATTAAACAGACATACTAAAAGCTTAGAGCAGCTTACACACACACACTTACTAGTTATTTGAGCTTTTCTGCTGGATTAATATTGTTGCATGGCAACAGCAGGAGTGGTGAGCACTTCTTTTCAACGTGAATATGTTTGCAACTGCAGGGAAATAATAATTATAATAATAAAGTAGTGGCTGGGAGTGTTTCTACTCCACATTCAGAGGAAGACATGGAAATCTTCAAGATTCAGGAGTTTTAAAAGTTTTCTGTTTGTATAGTCTAGTTTAGCTTATAAATTATTTTTGATCTTTTTATATAAATTAAACAGCTGCACTGTTTAATTTGCAGGAGAACAGATGGCTGCCATGGCGACTGTATTTCCTGCAAACTAACACCAGTCAGTGATTTTGAGGCTTATTATTTTCAAAATCCAGTTCTATGTCTAATCTGTTAGTTCTTTTTTTTTTTTTGCTTTTATTTTAGAACATTTTGAAATGTTAAAATTTTAGTATTTAATTTTGGTGATTATCACAGATAGCACTTGCTGCTAACAGCAGTGTGTGTGTACTGCATGGAGTGTGTACCTGTTTACTATGAGACTTCCTAAATCACAAAGCAGAGTAAGTTTGCTGTAATGTGTTCAGTCTTCTTACTAAAGACTTTGAACTAGATTACAGAGCTCATCAGTTGAGCATCATGGTAATGAACATTGTTGCCTTGTTCTCTTCTTTAGGCCGGATGAATTTAAGTTTGGCTGCACTTCCCTGCGGGTTCCTCCTGACCTCCTCCACCAGCTCCGTAATGACATCACCGTGTCCCCGAGCGGCATCGCCTTTGTAAAGGTTCGGCTCCCTCTGAACCTCCGACACCTTCCAGAAACGCTACCTCAGCTGTTTTCAGAACATTCTCCATAAGTTTGTCTAGGAAAAATAATTTTTTCGGACTGAAGTTGTATGTGTGTGTGTGTGTGTGTGTGTGTGTGTGTTCAGTCGTCGGTGCGTAAAGGCGTCCTGCCTAGCATGCTGGAGGAGATCCTGAGCACCAGGATCATGGTGAAGCAGTCCATGAAGAGCTACAGGCAGGACAAGGCCCTGATGAGGCTGCTGGACGCCCGGCAGCTTGGACTCAAGCTCATCGCTAACGTCACCTTTGGCTACACCTCAGCAAACTATTCAGGACGCATGCCCAGCGTGGAGGTGAGGCCATCGGCATCCATCCTGTTCACTGAACACCCCAACGCTCACCTCATAGGAAGATTATGCATTTCTATCTTGCATGTAGAATCCTGCGAACGTATGATGCTTCAGCTTCACAATGTTTTCCTGGTACAACCACAAACTTTATATTTAGATTTTATTCAACAGACCAACACAAAATAGGGTGTATTTCTGCTCTGGAGGGAAAAGGCTATGTGGTTTTCTGACATTTTAGCAAATAAAAATCTGATTCTCCTGAATAAAATCAAGTGTATCCAAGGATTACTTGTGTGTAATTTGATGTCAGTCTTAATGAGAACATCAGTGAACAACCGCCATCATGAAGACCAGCAGACAGGTCAGTAAGGAAGCTGTGGAGAGCAGGGTCCACTTTTACAACAACATCCCAAACATTGAACATCTCTCAGACCAATCCATCATCTAAACATGGACCTCTACCTAAGCTGACAGGCTGGGCGAAGAGAGCATTAATCCTCCTTGGTAACCCTCGAGGAGCTGCACAGATCTGCGCCTCAGGTGGAAGAACCTGTTGACTGGGCAGCTGTTAGAAAATCTGTTAGACTGCAGAGAGCCTGAGCTGGGTTCACCTCCAGCAGGATGATGGCTCGAAACATGGAGGGCTTTGTGTGAAAGCATGGCCTAGTCAAAGTCAACACTTAAAGTCAAATGATAATCGGTGGCAATGGTTGATAACTGATGTTCACAGAATACTGTGAACTTTCAGTCTAACTGAGCTTGAGATATTTCTCAAAGAAGGTGAAATATCTCAAATCTGCAGTGTATCAGACAGGTTTCATGGAGGTGTGTTTTTTTCTGCAGGTGGGAGACAGCATTGTCCACAAAGCCAGGGAGACCCTGGAGAGAGCCATCAAGCTGGTCAACGACACCAAGAAGTGGGGAGCCCGAGTCGTGTATGGAGACACAGACAGGTACGATTTCTCACCGTGAGTACATGTCGCCCCACCTGCAGGTCATGCATCTCACACACACTCCTGATATCGACTGACTGCGCCTCACCACAGGGCCGTGGTGAATGAGGGGAATAAAAACATGAGTTCTGGATGCACCTCAGATCCATCATGGAGTCAGTGTAGCCCACCACAGCCTCACACTGTCCGGAAAAACAGCAGGGAAGGTTGATGAGACGAGACATTTAACTGACCCCGCTTTCAGGCAGAGCTGTTTTACTCTGGAAAGAGAGGAGAAGATTGAAAGATGATTGGTGGAGACGTCGGACTGTACGATCTTTGTTTCTTCTTCAGAGTTCCTCACTGTTTAAAATTTCTCTTTATGCTCCATCAACTGTGTTATTTTTCCTTTCGTAGTTTTTGTAAATATTGCAATAAAAAAACTACTTTGCAGGTATTTTTATGAGTTTAAAGTGTAAAGCTATGACAGCACAGTTAGAAACATCTTCCTGAAACGATTTAGCCCATCTATCAGCACTGCAGAATTTCACTCATTAGGTCTTTGTTAAATGAACTTGGATTGAGAAAAATGAGAAAGTGGAGCTGCCTGCAGGTTCCCAGTGACCAGACTGTGAATGTTTGTCTCTGTCATGTATCGGCAGCATGTTTGTTCTGCTGAAAGGAGCCACCAAGGAGCAGGCCTTCAAGATCGGCCATGAGATCGCAGAGGCCGTGACCGCAACCAACCCCAAACCTGTCAAGCTCAAGTTTGAGAAGGTAAACGGGAGCTGCTTCAGAAACACACAGAATCCGGCAGCAGCTGGTCTGTGATGTCTGACGGGAACCTCACTGTGTTTCTGTGCTCCAGGTGTATTTGCCCTGCGTGCTGCAGACAAAGAAGCGCTACGTGGGCTACATGTACGAGAGCCTGGACCAAAAAGAGCCTGTGTTTGATGCCAAAGGAATAGAAACGGTGCGTCGCGACGGATGCCCCGCTGTTTCCAAGGTAACAGGAAAACCGCTGTACCCTTGCTGTCACAGTTCTTTGCACCAATCATAGCCGTGCCAGAGTCTTTCCTGCACTGGTTTCCCCTGATCTGTCTGCATGAGTCACTCAGGGGAATGTGACAACAGTAACTTGTCGCTTCTTTTCATGACCTGAAGACGACACACTACTGCTTCTTCCAGTCAGTATTGCAGCTGACTTTATATCTGCTCCTTTGTCCCAGATTCTGGAGCGCTCCATTAAGCTGCTGTTTGAGACACGGGACATCAGTCAGGTGAAGCAGTTTGTCCAGCGTCAGTGTGTGAAGGTTCTGGACGGCCGGGCTAGTATGCAGGACCTGACCTTTGCCAAGGAGTACCGAGGCAGTGGCTCGTACCGGCCCGGAGCCTGTGTGCCTGCCCTGGAGCTCACCAGGTGTGTTTGTGTGAAACACTTAAAAACAAAACACTCATTTACACACACACACCCACACGTTTGTGCTTTTGGGACTTATTGGGAATTATGACTTTTAGAGTGTTTATAGGGACACATCTTTACCTTAATTTGGTGAACACAAGAAGTGTCAAAACAAACTTTTCCACATACATTGGTATTTTTTAACAATATTAAACTTTGACTTGATATGCATTCAGTTAGGCATAGTTAGCTTACAGGAGTAAGCTAACTATGCCTAACTGAATGGTTAAGGGTAGGAACCCTTAACCATTACCAGTATAACGATGCACACTGAAATCCCAGCTGGTTGTATAGAAATGAGCAGCATGAACCTGCTTGTTCTTTTTTTTTTTTCCCCACAGTGCTTATTGTCTTCCTGCAGCAGCCTGGTTTATAGTTACCTGCGTCTGTTGCTAGGCAACCCAGCTCTTAATGAGCGGGGGGGG